TACGCATCACATGTGTTTAGGAGACTTCCTGTTTTGGACATCATACTTACATTATACGCCACATTCTACTAGGGAACGCATATCGTTCTGTAAAGAAGAATACCAACTCAGTTTTCACTCCCATTTAGCCATTTTAAATTCACTTAAATAAATGGCTTTCCAAAGTACTTATTTATATAACCACTATGGGCCTCCAAACACCATTAATAGACATTCAGTCACACATGAATACATTGACTTAAACCATTAAGTTCTTCACAACAAATCATGATATATATTAATCATCAAACTTCTTCTAATGGACTTAAGTGCTTAATTGGCCAATAACACACTAGAGTTACTTGAAATGATTCCAACCATTTCAAACTATCAATTCATCATAAATGATGTAATTCAATAATTTCTCAATCTATTTAACTTGTTAAACTCAATTACATAATGAGATCACAATTTTGTTTCCTAATGTAACATCCATAAAATTTTGAAAATTTTAACTTTTATATAAGTCCAAAAACCATCATTGTGTACATATTGTTTTCAAAATAAGTTCGACATCAGAGAAATCCCAGAAATCATGAAACGAAATATGAGGAGGTGCACGATCACGCCTTAGCCTTCCCGCGATCCTCTGCGGTACCTGAAACATAATCCAAAACTGTAATCCCGAAGCTTGGTGAGTGTTCCTCACTGTACTTGTTGGGTCGAAGGCACCAAGGCCGACCCTTTTGGATTGTTATCCTAATTATTGCATGATTAAGTATTGTAGTGATCTGTTAGATCTGTATCCTGATAATAGGATGATGTTATGCTTAGTGATATGTAAGATCTGTCTGTTTGTCTGATTGACTGGTTGTATGTTTAATTGTTATGTATATGTCGACATGTTATGTGTGGTTGGGTTGAGGCGGGCCTGCTTTGTGCTGAAGGCCAACAGACCCAGGGCGTCCCGGATAGACTGAAGGCTAGCGGGGCGTACCAGTTAGGCCGAAGGCCCGAAGAACGTTCCAGATAGGCTGAAGGCCCGAGGTGGCGTACCAGTCATGCTGTAGGTTCTGTGAGCGTACCAGATAGATTGTAGGCCGGTAGGGCGTTCCAATTAGACTGAAGGCTCTGAATGCATGTTGTTTGTGATATTATTCTGGTTTTTGTATTGTGATTGGTATTTTGGGGGAAACTCACTAAGCTTCGGGCTTACAGTTTTGAATTATGTTTCAGGTACCTCAGAGGATCGCAGGAAGGCAAAGGCGTGATCGTGCACCTCCTCATATTTTTTTTTCATGATTTCTGGGATTTCTCTGATGTCAAACTTATTTTGAAAACAATATGTACATGGTGAAGTCGTTTCTTAGGTTTTCCATTTCGAGCTGCATCTCCATAGCTAACAGCTCGTTATCAGTAGGTATGTCTAAGTTCGACGCGTGGAATCCTCCGTACGAAAAGCTACCTGCTGAAGCCCTGATCTTTGGTAGGGATGGAATTTATAAAGGGGGAAGGAAGACAAAGGGTATAGAACTGATGCTCTGTAAGGGTAACAAACTGAGGATGTTTAACCTAAAAGGGGAATACGAGTTTATATAAGGGGACCACAAGCCAGGTAAGAACCCTTGCTCCCCAAGGGTTGTACTGTTCATGACACGTAATCCTCCAATTGGACTGTGGTATCCTACATGTAAGTCCACATCACCGCTAACCTAATGTAAAGGGTTAAAGGATATGGTCATACGTGACTTTATTACCATTTTGTAACAAAAAAAATTGAGTGACCTTTTAAACCAAAAATGACAAGTTTAATGGGTAATATGACATTTTCCCCAAAACTATTAATGATCATAGAATCCTCTAGGGAACAACTTGAACATTATGATTATCATTGGGATCTAAGTTTGTAGTGGGTTATCACTCAAACACCAACTTTATCAAATGGATGATAAATTTGGGTTTAAACCCACATCAACTACATTAGATATGTTCAAAAACAAAACCCTAGTCCACAAATGGTCAAGAAATCGAAATTTACTTTCGAATTTATGCTTCAAATCCGAAGTTAGGGTAAGTGGATGAATAAATCATATCATAAACCCTATATTGCTTTCACTCTTTGCACTATATATTCACCACTTGATTGATTCCAACTCTAGATGGTGGTTCTTCATGAAATCTACATCTCCCAAACCCTTTAGCTCTCTCCCAAACATTTTGGCTGAAAATAAGGATAAGGATCCATCTAATAAGTTTATTTTTAATTTCTACCTGCCCATCCACATATTTTGACAATATCGGTCCTAAACTCCAATTAATGGAACTTAACTTTGAGATTTAACCCTTTTTAGTACCTCTCCATCTCATTTATGAATTTAATGACCCAATCTCATTTAAGTGAGTAACTCATTGGTCAACAACACTTTTGTCGTTTTTTACATATTTAGTCCCTAACTTCCAAATGTTGCAATTTCAACATTTGTTCATTTAATACTTTTATATTAATTAAATATGATAAAAAGTTTCTAAGTAATTTATTAATTAATTACCTAATTAATCAAATGAAAAATTTTAGCCCTAAATTTGAGATGTTACAAAGAGCCAACATACATCTCAAGTCAACGGACACATAGACTCCATCCATTCTTCAATATTCACTTAATGGTTTTGATAAATGAAGTGACACCTTGAGAGAGTCATATCTTAATTCATTATTTAACAAACATAAATATGGCTTGCAACATTATTAAGTTTCATCTCCATAATATTGATCGGGCTTCATATTAGTCTAAATGCATAATTATTCATGTAATGTGACTGATTATTAACATTTAGAATAGTGTATAACCATTCAAGGATTTAAACATTCAAATATAGAACAAAATTTCACATGATAAAAAAAATCATACACTTAGTGTATTAATCCATACCATAAAAACAAAAAGTGTTAGTGTTCCAATATCCTAATAATAAATGGAAAATACCAGATATAGACATTATTTGGGGTTGAATTCCAAAATATAGACACAAAAAATTGAATTTCCAGGTATAGACATGGATTCCACGGAGGTAGCTCCGCGGAATGGCAAAATGGTAAATAAATGAGGAAATTAAAAAATAAAAATAAAAAAATAAATAAAAAAAACTCAACATCCATTCCGCGGAGCTACAGTGGATTCCGCGGAGATAGCTCCGAGGAATGGATCTTCAGGAAAAAAAAAATCTCCTCCAATAATTTTTTTATGTAAAGATCTCCAATTAAAAGACCAATTTGTTTCAACCTCACATTCATTCCAAATATTGTCAAGAAAAATTCATATTATCATTAATCTTTTCTTGAAAATAATTAGTTGGGGAATGAATATAAACCCCGAAGAATCGATTTGAAAAAAAAATCTGAAGATCCATTCCTCGGAGCTACCTCCGCGGAATCCACTGTAGCTCCGCGTAATTGATCTTGAGTTTTTTTTTTTTTTAATTCCCTCATTTATTTACGATTTTGTCATGCCGCGGAGCTACCTCCGCGGAATTCATGTCTATACCCGGAAATTCAATTTTTTGTGTCTATATTTTGGAATTCAACCCCAAATAATGTCTATACCGGTATTTTCCCAATAATAAATAATTAAAAATAAAACAATACTACTAGCACAACAACCATCTAGGGCCTCTAATCCAATATCATGCTTGTAGGGGTGTAAGTGAGCCGAGCTACTCGCGAGCTACTCGAGATCGACTCGTTAAAAGCTCGACTCGAGATCGAATTAAACGAGCCCGAGCCGAGCTCGAGCCTAAATAAGAGGCTCGTTTATTAAACGAGCTCGAGCCGAGCTTCAGTTAGTGGGCTCGCGAGCCTAAATGAGCCTATATATATATATATATATATATATATATATATATATATATATATATATGTGTGTGGTGTGTGGGTGTGTGTGTGGTGTGTGTGTGTGGTGTGTGTGTGTGTTATATATATAATATATATATATCTCTAATATTATATATATCTATATATATATATATATATAGGCTCGTTTAGGCTCGCGAGCTCACTAAATTGTTCACGAGCCGAGCTCGAGCTTCATTTTAAGGCTCGAATCGAGCTCGAACTTCTTCAAAATTAAACGAGCCGAGCTCGAGCTTGGTTAGGCTCGGACTCGACTCGGCTCGTTTACACCCCTACATGCTTGGTTATATGTATAGGCTTGGTGAACAAATGTGTTATATTCTGATATGTATTTTGATTAAAATTAGATAGAGTTTATATAACAAAAATTATTTATATGTTAAATAAAATATATTTGCATGTTGATTAAAATGAATAAGTTTTATTTTTTATTTATATAAATATTATATTTTCTATGTTTTATTTATTTATTTTATTGTTTTTTATTTGATTTATGATAATTAATACAAAGTTTAATAGTTTTTTCTAAAATTTCACAAACAGTCCTTATGTGAGGTTTCAGAAAATTTCATAAATGGTCATTGTGTGAATTTTCATAAAATTTTGCAAATGGTCCTTATAGCGACTTAACGTCTCTCTCTAACACACGTTAGTAATAATGACTATTTGCATGCGAAGTTTTCTCCAAAAGGACCATTCATGCAAAAAAAATTAAAAAAAAAAAAGTAAAATAAAAATGCAGACTGTTTTAGAGAAAAATTTAAAACAAAAAGACCATTTTTAAAATTTTGTCAAAAAAAACAAAGTTAGATACCAAACACATAAATTATCCTAAACCATAGGGACCATTCGTGTAATTTACTTTTTTTTTTCTATGATGAAAGAGCTTAAGTATGACTAAAATACCATGTTTCTCACTATTTCATGATGCCCCATGTCAATTTGGAAAATGAGTTTATAGCTTTAGATAGTGAAGAAGATGTCATATTTTTTTTCTAACTTTGTAGTACTACACAAGGAAATCGATGTGTATACAGATCATGGCATTTCTTCTAAATTATATTTCAAATCTCTTGATAGATTTTCAAACCAAATGAAAAACATCAACAAATTCCATTCTTTTCAAAAATATTCTTCAAATCAAACCCTAAAACGGTTTTCCAAGAGATGGTTTTATTGATGCCTCACAAGTCGCAACAAACAAACATACTAAACAAGATAGAAACAACCACCACCACTACTACTATTACCCATACGTATTCTTTAATTAAAACACGTCATGCAAAATGATTAGAATCTCAACTGCTAAAATTTATCACACTCAAACATCATTGTTCTGTTGTTGGAAAGCTGCATCATATTCTTCCACATCATCATCATCATCATCATCATCTTCTTCTTCACTACCAACATCATAAATACTGCTTCTCATCATTTTCAAATCACTTCTACCATCATCTTCATTAAAAAACTCACCACCAAATTTAATGTCACGATGTTTGACCAAAAGCCAACGTAACAAACGGTCTTCTTTGTTTAAATAATGGAGCTCACTGTTAAAGCTTGGTGGGGTCATCATTGTCATTTGCATCAATTGGCCCTATGCCATCAACAATAAGGACAATGATTATATGTACACAGTACACACAGAGTAAAATATTGGAAATGACTAAAAGGACCACTTGGAGAGAAGGTACATCGTACACCTTTGTTTTTTTCATAATTGTTTCAATTTACATGTAGTTCGGTAAATATTTGTAACTTCAATTTTTTTTGTTGATTCATGTGTATTTTGTATGTTTTTCAATTGATAACTATGTAAGTGTTTGATTTGTGGATTTATAATAGGGCAAATACCATAAAAGCCACTACATTTTCACGTGTTTTTGAGAAAAGCCCTATTATTATTTTTTGGTTGGCTCTGGCCACAAATTGAACATAGAATTACCACTCTAGTCCATTTAACGATTGCAAAATCAGTCCTAAAAGTTCAAATTTGGTCCCTATAGTTTGCAAAAATTTACACAACATGTCCAAAACTCGGTTTTATGTTTTTTAACTTCTTTATTTTCATTTATTTTTTTTATTTTTTAATCAAAGCTAAACTTGCTTTTATATTTTTTTTTATTTTTCGTTTTTTTTTGGTCTTTTTTGTTTTTTTTTATTTTTTTTAACTTTTCTTTTTGTTTTTTTATATTCATTTATTTTTCATATTTTTTTATATTTTTTTCGTTTTTTTGGTTTTTCTTTATTTTTTTTCGTTTTTTCTTTATTTTCGTTTTTTCTTTATTTTTGCTAAAATAAAATTTACGTTTTGTTTTTCGTCAATTTGATAACTTCTTTCGATGTTTATCAAAATTTTTAAAGTGTATGAATATTTTTTATATTTTTCGTATTTGTTTCGTATTTTTTTGTTTTTTTTTCGTATTTTTGTTACGTTTTGTTTTCGTCAATTTGATAATTTTTTAGAAAGTGTAAAGTGTATAAATATATTAGAGTATAATACATTTATGGTGTTTGAATTTTTTTTTGGTTTTCTAAAAAAAATGAAAAAAACGAAAATAAAGAAAAAAAACGAAAAATATATATAAACAAATATGAAAAATAAGTGAATATAAAAAACGAAAAACACAAAAAAAAAAAGAAGTTAAACAAAAAAAACCAAAAAAATGAAAAAAGAACAAAAAATATAAAAAAATATAAAAAAATTGAAAAATATAAAAGCAAGTTTAGCTTTGATTAAAAAATAAAAAAATAAATGAAAATAAAGAAGTTAAAAAACATAAAACCGAGTTTTGGACATGCTTTGTAAATTTTTGCAAACTACAGGGACCAAATTTAAACTTTTAGGACTGATTTTGTAAAAAATTTAACAGAGTTAACCATGAAAATCGTTAAATGGGCTAGAGTGGTAACTCTATGTCCAATTTGTGGCCAGAACCAACCAAAAAAAAATAATAGGGCTTCCCTCAAAAACACGTGAAAATATAATGGCTTTGATGGTATTTTCCCTTTATAATATGACAATAATAAGAGTAAACTTCAAAATTGGTCTCTGTGATGTGTTTTTTGTAGTTTAGAGTCCAAAAAAAAAATATTTTCTAGGTTGTCAAGTTTGATAGCCTATTGCTAAAATTTTGAAAATGACCATTATGCCCATCACTTTCATAATTTATTATTATTTACTGTTATTATTATTGGCCATCTCATGACTACACACACAAAATAAAAATAAAAATAATACAAGACAAAATACAAAATGGTGGGTCCCATGGAAAATAATTCTATATAATTATAATGAGAGGCAAAATGGTCATTTTACAAGGGTTTAGCAGACTTAAAATCAGGGTGTTAAAGTCAGGGAGTAAACTCTCCAATAAAGAGCATCCAAAGAAAAAGATTGTTTTATGGACTACAAACAAAAACACACACAAAACATTGGGAGTGTTTTTGCAGTTTAATCTAACAATTATTATAAATTGAACATTTTATAAATTAATGAGGACTTCAATGAGGTGTGAAAGTGAAACTAAAAGTTATAGGCAATTTGGACCAATTTCAAACTTGCTCCTAAAGATTATGCTGTCAATTCACCAGTTTTGTGTTCAGGTGTTCCCTTAACAACTTACAGTAGCAATTCATGCACTTCAAGTTTGATAGGTGTCATTGTGTCAACATAATCTCATATGAAAATCACACAAACAGTTGAATAATGTGTCACACGACCCTGTAATTAGACTACATTTTCAAGCTTAGAAAGGATCATGAAGAGGCTTTAGTAAGTTTAATCAACAGTTTCCATTTGTTTAGATACAAGTTTACAATTTGAGCAAGGCCTAAAACATAAACTAGCAAGTAGCAAATATGTGCTGAGTTAAATAGTGGGAATGATCATGCAAAATTTATAGGAAATGATGAAGTAAATGCAAGTGATTTACCTGATAGTATCTGCCATCAAGCTTCTTGATACCATAACCCAACTGAACAGTTCCAAGTGACTTTAGATCAGTGATAACGCCATTTCTTCTGTATACATGTTTCCCAACTCGAGAAACCAATTCTATAAGTGATTCCTTTTTAACAGCAGGCTTCAGCAATAGCATACAATCATATAGCGGCATCTTTCACCTTCTCCCCTTTCTGAAACCAGATTATAAACTATGTAACGTTTACTAATTACTAAATTACCTCTCCATATGAACATAGAAATGAAAACAACAAAGTTAGAGTAGAAAGAACAAATTTGGCACACTCCGTCGATACAAATGTAAATTGAGTTGAAATCGGAGATGCTGGTGTTGAACTTTCAATAAAATCCTTATCAATTTCGCATATGAGTCTCGACATTTGTTAAAATAATACTAAACGAACCTCTTTTTTTAGAAGAAGAGACTGTTGCTAAAACTATAAAAATGAAAACTGAAGACAAGCAATGATTTAGATCTATGTCAGTGGATGTGACGATGCTCGTCTATTTAGTTGATGCTCGGAAAATTGTACAAAGCATGTAGTCGATTAATATACGTGTGATAATCTTTTAACTGAGAATGCCTAATGAAATCTGAAACTGCGATAGAACAAAATGCATACCTTTGATTGTGAGGGACCTGATGCCGACGTTTTTGGGGCTTTGACGGAGATTATTTATCTAGGGTTTGGAAGCTTGGACTGACGAGAATGGCGGACCGACGAGTTGCTAAGGGTTATGTGTTCGAATTACATCTTAGTAATGTTTTAGAGAAAACTGCATATGACCCCTCTAACTTTAACAATATATCTATTTTCACCACTAAATCAATATGAACTTTTAATATGGTCGTGTCCAAAAAAGTTATGAAATTTGCTCCTTTGTATACTTTAGTCATTTATGTTTTTGACTTTGTATACCATTTACGGTTGAACAATTTTATCATGCCAAAAAAAAACCATATTTCACTATTCACTCTTTATTCTCTGTAACTTTTTTACTCTTCTGAGTTATGTATTCAAGAACAAATCCATAAAATTGAGGTTCAAAATATATGTGTGTTCAAGAACAAACCCATAAAATCCAGAAACAAAACCCTAAGAACAAAAACACATAAATGTTGCCGAAAATCCATGTAAACAAACATAAAAAATTCCCGACCATATGAACATACACATAGTGGTGGAGGTAGTAGGGGGAGATGTGGGTGTTGAGCCCTCTTAATCCATTTCGTTTAATAGGATTACAAGTCTACAACCAGCTAAAACTCATTATATCTAAAGCTCACTGATCATTTTAAGTCACTCTTATTTTAAAAACATGGACCTCTTATTTTAAAAACATGGATATCCCCATGCACATACACTTCATATTTGAACATCCCTAGTTCATCTTAGATCTTATATGAAAACCATTTTTCAATTTTTGGTGTTCTTTATCAAATCCCATCCTAGAAATCAAGATTTTGTTGTTGGTTTTTATTCTTGTTCTTTTGTGTGTGTTCCAAAAAGCAAGAGTTTGTTGCTGTGTTTTTGTTTATGTTCCTATGTGCGTGGGTTTTTTTAGTCAAAAATAGAGAGAGTTGACATATATATTTTGGATAAATAATACATATCTAGAAAATATTTTAGATAGTAAAAAAACTTTAGAGAAAACTACTATTAAAATGCTCTAAAACTATGGACGAGTGTTAATGGTCTTGCACATCTTGTAATAACATATTAGTTGTGAGACCTATGTATTACATGAGTTAATTTAAAAATAATCTTTAAAAAAAGTTAAATATAAAAGTCAAAATATTTGAGAACTTTGAATTTATAAGAAAAATAATAAATTATTATACTGGAAATGTTTTTTATCTTTTAAATTAAACAAAAGAAACTAATGAGCTTTAATTTTGGGAATTGTGAAATTAAAAGGTAAATTGATTAATGAAATTGATATTCATTTATTACTATATTTATTGCAATTATTACATTAAAATATTATGTGGAATTTAATAAAATACTCCGAAAAACTTATAAAATGACATGTGGAAAAAAAATTAAATCAAAATAACCACAAAATGACATTTGGCAAATTGAATAAAAGTGTGACAAGTGACAAAAAAAACATTCGTTTATTAGAGTAGATGGTAGAGGGTTTAAAAGTCAATTATTAATATTGAATATATAAAAAGCTTGTTAGAGACGGTAATATTTTCAGTTATTATTTATTTATTTATATATTTATTTTATTAGAAAAAATATGCCTTTTCCTAAATATTATGTGCATAAATAAATAAATAATAACAAATTAGATGAAAGGGTTTTATTAAATATTTCACAAAAATAAAGGTAAATTGGTTAATTTTCAAAGACATTTTTTTAAAGCCGTCAATGATTAGAGGTGATTTAAATAAATATATTTTCATTGATAAAGTTATTGGAAAGATGATATGGTTTAAAAAAAAAAAAAGCTAGAAAAGGGGTCAATCATTGTGGATACACTAAGCAACACTTGACATAAATCTAAACATCACATGACTCGCAATAATTCAATAACATCATGTCTTTATACAAAAAACAATTCTCTATTTAACCAAAAGATACAATATTGAGATGAGCATAATGTATATGTATATACAAAGAAGACTGTAAGCTCGTATATACCAGTTTAGTACACATTTTTACAGTAATTGAAGGGATGTTTATGAACATGGAAATTGATCAAGATGCAATCAAAATGTAAATTTTACCAGAGATTTACCTCACAAGTGACTATTTTCTTTCAAAAAAAAAAAATACCTTTCTATGTTGAAAGTATGCTATTCAAGAAACCCCTGACAACATCACCATAAATCAATCAACATTTATATGCATATCAATAGCTTTAACACATTAAGCCACTAATTAACTTCTTAAAAAAAACAAGTCTTTTTTTTTACAATATGTAAAAGTGTAAATTTAAAAAGAGAAAATGGTTTGTACTTGGCAAGTTTTGTGTGTAAGCTAGGTTGTACTGTGTGCATTTGACTAAGACTGATGTCAATGAGACAAAAAGTGAAATTTTTTGTCCTCGCTGACAATATTTTTTTTATACAAAAGACGTAAATGCCCTCCTCATTGAAACAAAACCTAAACATCTACTTTTGAAAAACAAAACAGTGCAGTTCGCTAGCAATATTATTATGGTTAATAATGTCAATATTTAATCTTGAAAATAAAAAGAAACTTACCAGAATCCTGAAGCTTTCTTAACTTGATCTCTGCAAGAAGAGGGCAAGAATGTCATTAAAATATAATAAAAGGGTTTTCACTTTTCACATAGTAATTATGTGTATGTGTATTATGTACCTTGTTTTTCCTTCAAATGCATCATTAACTTCATCACCGGTTGGCCTACTAGGAAATGTTGACAAGATGACATATTTCTCTTTTCCATTTGCTTCATTTATCCTTTTGAACAGCTCATATCGATATGGATAAGCCATCCTGCAATTTTTTTATCCATATCACTACAATTTTCTATGTAAAATATATATTATAAAAGTTATGCATATCTTATACAAGATATAGCAGGTTTAATGTTTAAGTTACCTTAAAGCACCCATAATTGGATATTGTGTTCCTGAATAATAGAGAAGCCGAAACTGGTAGCATATTTCAAAAGATGCAGCATACTCCAGTCTTTTTTCTCTACCCATCGTCTAATTAATAAAATAAAATCAAAACTAACTTAGAAATTGTCATAATTATTGGATTAATTTTCCATGAAAAGCTCATAAGCTTTAAGAACTTACTTGCATAATACCACTTGATGCTGGTAAATCCTACACATAAAAAGTTTTAACGGTGTATTAGTACCATTTTTATCAAGAAAGACACTACAATAGATCAATAAAAGGGTATTTTCGTAACTTAACATAATTTTCATTCCAAATATATATAGATATATATACATTCAATACTCAAGGGACTAACCTTGAGTCTAGGGTTGATAAGAATGACTGGACGACTACCAGCAGCATCAGTCATTGCTCTTAGATCCTGCATTATCCAACATCATGACTTGTGAATGGACATTTATGCCCCCGACAATTGGTATGCGTTTGTTTACACTTATCAGGATGAGGAGGGCATTCACGTCTTTTTGCACAGACGAAAAACGAGAGCAAGTCCATGTCTCACCTTGTTCCACCTTTTGGGCGGGACAAAACATTGCAAGTTTTGTCCCATTCTAGCCCAGTGCATGCCAAACACAGTACATCTGTCAGATGCAGTACAACCTGTTTTGTTCTATCATGTCATGTCCTGTGTTAGAATTAAATATTTGATCTGAGGTTTTTACATCGATAATGCAATTTCCCATAGCATTTTGAGGAGCCACTAGAATGAAGATGTCATCTGCTTCATCAACGTCTCTTCCCCCTGTACAATGCCAAAAAAACATATAAAGATCTTTCGCAATTATAATACACTTTATCTCAATAATTTGAAATCCAACATTATTTATTTTGCAAAAGAGTACCTATAGCACCAATGTTTATGAATGTCCCCATGGCTCCATCATTACCCCAATCCATGTACTCCAAAATCTTTCTTGTTCCTGCAAGCTGTAATGGCATTCCTGCAAGTGCTCCTTCTCCCATGGATCCTTGAACAGAAACCTGCATGAAGATTGTTTCTTGAAATGTTTCTGATATAATTTAATTCCATCCATTTGCCAATCAAACATGCCATGGAATGGAACTCCAATTCCAATTCCATCAGAACCATGATAAGCATACCTTAACACGCTTTCCATCATCTGAAAATGATAGAGCAAGAACTCGAACAAGTTCCATCAAAGTACCTATCCGATATACATCCTGTACATAAAATATAATTTATATTTATATTTTATAACAATTCAATTATTGAAAAAGGAAGTGTTCCTCACTGTGTTGGGGTTCAGCTCTGGAATATTGATCTCCACCTGAAAAATACAAGTTTATGCTTAAATTAAACTTAATAATGTCTTTCTTTTATCTTTTTGTAGGGTTAATTACAAAAAGAACTTGTAACTTTTTTAAAACTACTGGTTTTTTATACATAGATTGAATCTCAATAGTAGTAAACTGACCTTGACTCGAGTTTTTCCATCCTTGATAGCTCTTTGGGTAGCTTGAAGCACATCATTATAAAAGTAATCCCTAATTTCTCTAGAATGAGGGATGTTATTTAAGTTTGTAGGAATCCCTCTCCAGTTTTCCTATAAAAGGATAAGATAGCAATGAATATGAATCAAATTTCTAGACATACAAACTTTCTAGGGCTATTTTTAATGATGAGATTTAAGAGGGCATTCACGTCTTTTTCACTATACAACATGTTTTGTGTAACAACTATAACCACATACCTTGGTTGAAGGCGACTTACTGAACTGGCTGTCAAGTTTACTTATATTTCCTGATTTAGTAAAAAAACAAATGAAAACAAAACCATGTGATACAAATTCAAACTTCAAAAACATTCTAAAACTTGCCTGATTTTTCTGTCTCTTTCTCTTTCTCAACTTGCAAAAGCAAAGAGCTTATTTCTCCAAAAATTACATCTTTAGAACGGTTTCCATCAATCTAAAACAAAATGAAAGAATCACTAGTGACATCAAAAAAAAAAAAAAAAAAAAAAAAAAAAAATGAAAGAAAAAGTAAAATCTATGTTTACATACCTTCTTCAAAAGGTCTGAATACGTGGATACAATCGCTTCCACATTCTTTTTATAAATCTGCAAACGTGATTTCACCTTTTCTTCAGTGTCATCAGGTCGAGTTATAAGTCTTGCTTTAATTTCCTCAGTTTCTGGAGGGAAATTCTTTATATGGTAAATCTTCCCTGTTTCAGGGTCCATTCTTCTACCAACACATCTATCAATTAGAATTTCATCAGGGACCTGCGTTTATGGGATTAAATTATAACTCATAAAGAATTAATAAAAAGATATGTCTTAATATTATATTATAACTTACATCTAGAACAATGAACACATCTGGTCTGATCTTCATTTTCTCCAGAGATTCTGCTTGGGGAAAACTGCGTGGAAAACCATCTAAAAGCCATCCTTTTTGTTTTGTATCATCTCTTGAAAGTCGCCCAATCACCATCTGTAAAAAAAAGTGTTTGTTTATATAATTTGGAAAGAAAGTGAATGTGATTTAAGTTAGTGAAATGATATTATATACATTTGTGACAAGTTCATCTGGAACAAGGCGTCCTGAATTCATGTACTCTTTTGCTTGGTTTCCAATCTCAGAACCTGCTGCTACTTCACTTCTAAGTAGATCTCCAGTTGATATGTGCACCAATCCAAACTAGACCAAAAAAAAAACATAAAATTGGAGATATAAACAAACACAAAAGAGAAATTTTTGAACTCACCTTTTGAACAATCATTTCACACTGAGTCCCTTTGCCTGATGCAGGTGCCCCTGATATCATAACCTTCAAGGGCTCATTTTGTGAGCACCTCACCTTCCGTACCTATTGAAAGTATGAGACAGATAGAGAGAAGAAGTTGTAAACTTCTAAAATCAATGGCTTTTCATAGGCATTTTCACAAACAGCTGGTATGGGTATTTACAGGTCACCAAGATTGCGCCCAGAATTACAGATAGTTGGTATAATGAATCAAAAGAACAAAATGGTGTTCTGGTGTGATGAAATTTCCAGTAATAAGTCATCCAATTATAGGATTTATGTACCTCGACAACGAAAAGAAGTAATTTCCAAAAGAAAACATAAACATGGGTAATGAAAGACTGACCTTTGTTCTTGGCGAGATATTGAAATGGGTATGCTTGTAAGCAATGACTTTAGGAAGGTTTTGGTGGTATTGAGAAGAAGAGTGCAATGATGAAGATGAAGATGACGATGATGATGATGATGATGATAGTGTGAGAGATGAGGGGTGAAGAGTGTAACCGGTAGGTGGTGTGAATCGGGTGTTTTGGCAATTGAAAGAAGAAGTTGCAGGGTAGTTCAGCATGATGATGAAAGGGAAGGAGCTTCTCTGCGATCGTGAGGAGAGAGGAGACTGGACTAAATTAACAGATAAACGGTCGCCACATATTCTTGAACATGTAGGGATCGCGTCACAGCGTCAATTACTCTTCAAGTAAAAAAATAAAATTAAATGAAATAAAAGCTTTGTTTATAAATGTTTATTTTATCTAAGTCCGATTTTTTTGTTCATTTAATATCATTATATTTATAAAATCCAACCCAACCCAAAATTAGAAAGTTGGATTCACATTTTCAATCCATTTTATTTAAATAGGTTAACCCGTAAAACTCATTTAATTAAATTTAAATAAGTTTGGTTGGATAAAAATTATTAACTTGTTTTCAACCGGTTAACCGTTTAACTATAATATATATTTAAAATAATAATTATTTAAATATTATCATGTATTAATCTAAAGATTAATTTATAAATTAAAATGTTGTTATTATTTATGTTTTATAAAAATAAGAGAAATTAAATATCCTCCTATTTTCCTTTCTAAATATATTCCTACCCATTTGAAATAATGACAAGTGTATTAAAATATTATTAATCTTATCTAAATATGACACATGTCACTATTTTACATGGATATGTATATAAGTAGAAAGAAACTATAGGAGAATATTTAATTTCTCTAAAAAAAAATACAATATTAATTCTCATTATTTTTCTCGGTGTCGACAACACTTGCCATTCTTCAAAACTATTTTAAAATTATACATTTTTAATATTATTTAAATAATTTATTTGTATTTGACTATTTGTGAAGTGAGATTATGTTTTTGCCATATTTTAAAATTTTATTTAAGTTTGGAGTAAATTTAAGTGATATAATCTTTATTTAGTTTATTTATTTTTTTGATTTTTAAATGGGTTAACCCATGTTTAACCCATATAATTGATAAGTTGAGTTGGAAAATACATAAACTTGTCAACCTAGTGACAAGCTAATTTATCCGAAAAGTTGGGTTGGGTTGAAAATATCAACTTATTTAAATAAATAGGTTGAATTGGATTAAAATCTTCAATCCATTTATTAAATAGGTTAAACCTGAATCTGATCCAAGTCGACCCACTGTCAACTCTATTTTCATATGTGATAACAGGTTTTCCAGGTTACCATTATACAACTCACAAGAAACCTTAAAGTTTACAAAAAAAACTACGTTTTATACTAAATATTCTTTTTCATATTATACGTATTAATGCAAAAAAAACATATTTATATACGAAAAAACTATTTCATTAAATATTGAATTTGTTGTATTTTTATTTTTGTTGTCTTTCTTCGGTTTGACTAGTCTGACAAGGAAAGATTAAGTTTGGAGAATTTTGATCGCTTGATTTTTTGTATATATTTTAGCATTCGTTTGATTTTAGTTTTAGCATTTTTAATATTCTTTTTGAATTAAATCATTAGATTTATTGTTTTGAATTTTTTTACTCGTTTAAACTATTTTTGTGTAGATTTGTTCGAGCAAGATGATATTTTGCAACATCATTAAAGCCACATCGAATACATTGCAACCACGATTGAAGTCCTATAGCAAATTTCGTGAGCGACAAAAAAAACAAAACGATATAAATTAATTTTCGGATTTTAACAGCATTGCATGACTTTCTTTAAGTGATTAGACGGAGGAGCATGTAAGGTTTAGGCCCCACAAAATACACAGGAAAGAGAATAACCAATAGGAGATTAAGAACAAGGATTTACTGCTACAAAACTTGGTTCTAAAATTGATTAAAACAAAGCAATCGAAATAACCTTACCTATACTAATTCTAAAAGAGACCTACTCAAACTCTAAAACAATAAAATAAAAGTTAAATATGGAACTTTCCTAAAATGCCCTTGGTTAAATATCCGATTAACCCAACAATCACCCCCTTAATCAGATTTGTCATACGAGCCACTCGTCGTTCAAAACAATGTCGATTCCTCTTCGATTAGACCCGCTTCTTCTTTTTCCCATTTAGGACACTCGTTTTTATAGTGACCAAGCTCACCAAATTTGTAACATCTAAAGTGAGTTTTATCCCGGACACGTTCATTACCATCTCGACTTCTCCCGGACCCCCGACCTCTTCCCCGGTCACGTCCAAAGTCATCCCGATTTGAACGTCCATTGCCACAATGCTTACAAACATGTGATTTTTCCTCACTAGCCAACCATAACCCACCTTGAGTGTCCTCCACTTTCTCGGTTCCTCTTATATGCTCCTCGTATGCCTTCAATCTACCAACCGCTTCATCGAATAACATTGAATCCAACTCGAAACATTGCTCTACCGAAGCCACGATTTGAAGAAACGACTTAGGCATCGAATCTAGTAACCTTTTCACCAAATCGACTTCTTCAAGCTCGTAACCAAGACTCCTTGATTTTGAAGCTAAACCGAATAATTTTGTCACAAAATCATCGACCGTTTCACCCTCCTTCATGCGCAAGCTTTCAAGCTCTCTCTTTAACGTTGCAAGCCGAGCTGTTCTCACCCGATCCACTCCAAAATACCGTGTTTTCAGCCCATCCCACACTTTCTTTTGGTCGGTGTAACTCGCCATTTGCAACACCATGTCTTCGGGTATCGCTTGAAACAAAAAAGCAAGAGCTTTTTTTGACTTTTTTTGATCCGATGCTTCACCTAACGCCTTTGGTTCGATCATCTCTCATATGTCGTGTGCATCCATAATCGACTTGACTTTGACCGCCCACACTGGATAATTCGTTGGAGTCAAAACCGGAATTTGATACGTCATCGAACCTCCTTCTTTAACCAACGACATCCTATTATTTTTGACAACCCCGACCTCTTTAATCAAGCTTGTTTCGAAAGCACTCTTCCACCGAACAACAAGACAAGGTCACAACCACCTTTACCGTCTTCCGTCACCCGCAAAACGAACCAAATCAAAGCCATCCGATTTGATGTCTACACGTATGTTTATTCCGCGCCTCCGGTTAGTCTCTCGTTACCTTAGAACAAGCCTGATCAAGAGAACTAGTGGCTTCTTGCGATCAAAAACTGAATCACACCCCCTTCAACGTAACCCAATTCCTGCTACATCTGCCCCGCGGCGAAAGGCTACGCTTTTTCTTGAAACCGACTCTCAAACCAGCCACCTTACGTATTCACGAGCCCTAGGCTTTGATACGAAGTGTAAGGTTTAGGCCACACAAAATACACAGGAAAAAGAATAACCAATATGAGATTAAGAACAAGGATTTACTACTACAAAACTTGGTTCTAAAATTGATTAAAACAAAGCAATCGAAATACCCTTACTTATACTAATTCTAAAAGAGACCTACTCAAACTCTAAAACAATAAAATAAAACTTAAATATGGAACTTTCCTAAAATGCTCTTGGTTTAATATCCGGTTAACCCAACAAGGAAAACGTTTTCCGATTTAACTGATATTTTATGGACGTATTCCCAACTCGTTGGTCTTCAATCTCACCGAAAATAAACAAATTCAGACAAATTTTGATATGGTTTTTGACCTCGTCAATATCAGAACAGGAAGCTGCCAACTTCATATTTTGGCAGCCAAATATCAAGACAAGAGCCCTTTTAAGAATTAAAAAGAAGCCAATTTGGTGATATCGTGGTAGCCCGTCTGGTTATTTACAACAACCCACTATTTTTAGCAAACAGTATATTTATTTGTGTTATTGTGGCTGAAAGAAACACAACTATATAAAGAAAAAAGGAGGGTGTTTCTTTTGTGCACACACTGAATAGAGAGAAGAGGGTCTCCAGTTTCTTTTCTTTCATTTTTTTTTCTAACATCAAACACTATTATATTGATATCATTGATTTTATTGTCTTGTAATTTATTTTTTATAAATTAGATTAGGTTAATTTTTGTATTAATACTTTAATTATGGATGGAGTTTTTGAAGCAACGAGAAGTGATGATTTTAAAGAGTTTTTGTCATCTTCGTTTCGTAATCGGTATTTGTATAATTTCTATCATTTTTATTGTTATTATTATTTTGTCCAGTTAGTTTTTATTTCCAATATTGGGTGAATCTATAGAACAATTAACTGATTAAAAGTAGTTTTGTGTGTTTTTGATGGTATTTTATGAAAATAGTTTCTAGTAAGACATCTATTTATGTTCATATGTTTTTAATCACGAGTTTATATATGTGAATGTTTAATTAGTTTGTTAATTTCTTGATTACGTAATAGATCTTCAAATTATCAAGCAACAAATGGTTCTTGTGTTGTTTTCACTTCACACAATCATAAACGTATTTTCTTCAACATGGTATTGAAAGCATTTTGACTCATCTTCGATTTGGTGGCTTTTAAATCTTAATGCTAGGTAATTTTCATTGATTACATGTTTCATGGAAATTATGACTTTAACTAAAAAATGTGTTATGAGCTTCTCTAGCCATTGTATTAACTAAGAAAAGTCTCGTTAATTTCAAGCGTCTTAGGTTACTATAGCCAAATTATGATTCATCAAACCTATTGCACCACAAAATTATGATGATTAATTAATTAATTGAACTTGCAATTTCCCGATATTGAAACGTTTGTTTTATAGATTTTATATTTTTTGCATTTTAGTTATTTTGTAAATTAGTTTTTAACGCATTTAACATTCTGAAAACCCCCATAACATTTTATATTTTTATCTTGTAGTGTAACATCCTGTTTCGAGAAGTTTCTTATTTTGGGATTATGGACAATAAATGGATCGAGTAAAGGCCTTGGGCTTCAAGGGAATAGGTTTTAGACTTTATTGGATGTCGATAATGTTGGTTAAGTGATTAAAGCCTTCGAATTGTGTTTTGAAGAAAAATGGTAAAATGGGAAAAGTAATATATTGGGCTTCTTGCATGGATTATGGTTTTAGTTCGACATGTATTAAGTCAAAAGTAATTAGATAGGATTGTGGGGCTCGTCAATATCTTTCCGTGCATATAAAGAACGCCGAAAATGAAGTTGAAACGAAGAAGTTATGATTGTCTGAAGTTGGAGTGAAATTGGGATAATACTCGTTCTCATGAGGTGAGAATATATTCTCAC